CAAGTCTAAGAACTCCAGGAGAATCGGCGAAAAAGTGGTGACCAGAAGTGGCCTAGAGTCCAGAATGGCCCTCGGTCAGCCAGAAATCTCATCTGGGAACTGCCCAAAGCCGCCAACAAGACCAGAACTTCTCACGAAAAGGCCACCACTCCATGAAACGGCACAGATCTCGAGTTCCCAATGCCCCTTCAACTCGAACCCCCAGCCCTGCTGGAAGGTTTGGGGTGTAATGAAGTGCAAGCAAGGCACCCCGGCGATTTCCTCAAATAAGCAGGAAGTTCGGAAATAGGCGCTGTGCAACGTATTATGTGTTTAAACATGCTGAAGAAGTAGTATCGTGTATGTATAAACGGATAGGAATTAACAACGACAACTGCTATATGATGTTATCTATTCGATATGACAGGCATGGACCATGCTATAAAAAAGATGCGTTTTTATACATTTTACAGCGGCTGCTTAGAAAAATGAAGGGTTTGCCATCTATTGCAGATTACATACCACATGTTGTATATTACATATTGCGAATGACATCCTAAAGGGCACCGGTATGCTATGCGTTGCATACTACATAGTACAATTTAGAAAAATATAGCACAATGCACCATATATCATATCATATACCTAATATTTCAACAAGAAGAAGAAAGACGTTCATTGTGCTTTGCATACTCTACATCATACTGTTTAAGATATGACAAGTTTTACATTGCAATCCTTTTTATCATGTCTTGTAGCTTGTAGGTACCATACGGAATCATATAGTATATCAAGATACAATGTAATGTAGTACAGTACAGTACGGAACGCGCTACATAGCATGTGTAATGTTTGTGAGATGTAGACTGCATAATTCATGATATGAAGTTATAAATTCTACATTGCTATAATGCTGAATATCATGTAGAAACAATACTCTACAATATACACTAAATTTGTTGTATGTTGCAACCAATTCACATTGCATACTTGAAAAGAGATGATCATTTACAACATAGGCAAAACTCGAAGATTCTTCGGGAGTATAATCTAGCATTCTATAATATACATATGTATATACGAACTTTGCAAACTGCGAGGTCCAGGATTGGCACATTCTTCACACGCTAAGGCACGCAGGCAACACCGTTTTCTTAGGGGCTGCATGATTTAGGTACCTAAGCCCTAAACCCTAAACCCTCAACCCTAAGCCCTAAGCCCTAAGCCCCTAAGTTCTTGGCTAGGCGCATCTTCCAGGATGCTCTGCCGAACATCCGCCAGCGTCGATGCTTCGTTGACCTGCGTGGCACCAGTAGCCGGTTCAAGCACGTGCTTGTAGGTTTGGGGTTTGGGGTTTGGGGTTTAGGGTTTAGGGTTTAGGGTAACCCAGGCCTGGGCCCTGATAGGCCCTTGAAGGGCTTTGGGTTGAAGTTTAGGCTTAGTGGAGAATCTTCTCTCCCAACCAAGGACATAGAGGCTGCCCAGACGGCACAGGGCGGGACGACAGAGGCTCTGTGTATGAAAGAGGCTTTAGGGTTTAGGGTTTAAGGTTTAGGGTTTCCTTGAGCTGGAAAACATCTCAAGTCCCTTCAACAAACAGGCCGACAAATGCACAAAGACAAACCACTTCTGCAATCCTTCAGCTGTCTTGACTTCTCTTGCAAAGGTAGGAGTTTCGGCAAGACAACCTAGATAGGTTACATGTTGCAACCAATACAAAGCACAGTTTCAAACCATCGAAGCATTTCTCCTGGTTGGATCGGATGGCACGTCAGCAGGACGTCTCATTCTATCACCACGGTCTGGGCAATGAAGACGGGCTGCCCGAACTTTACACGGCTACTTTGCCTACGTCGAATACATTCGCGCAAAATGGTTGCTCCACCCAGACAAAGTCTCACATCATTTTGTTTGCTTTGGCTCTTGGGGGCCTCGACGCCGCCAAGCACCCGCTCGTCCAAGCAAATGCCTGCTAAGGCTCCTATGTAGTACCTTTTTAGGGTAGTATGCTAGAATCCCCTATAACCCAAAAAGGAACTACATTGGAGCCTTTGGGTATAGAGGAGGTTGAGGATCGAAGGCTTGACGGGGCGTTGTGCATGTCACCTTTCGCGTACTTTCGGTTTAGCGTCAACTAGTAGCAGTAGCAGCAGCAGCAGCAGCAGCAGCAGCAGTAGCAGTAGCAGTAGCAGAGCAGTCAGTGCAAAGCACGTGCGAGTTCCTGCCAGCTGTAAACGCAACTACCAAGACACGCAACACGGTGAGGTTGGGGAAGAGAGCACCGCGTTAACAGGCATTTCGGGCCCCTGAGGAAACTCTCAGACCAGGCTTAGCTGCACCGAAAAACCCCTTAATTAAGGAATATCCCTTTGATTACAATAGGAAACCCAAATATGATTTAAGGCATATTCCTTAATTAAGGGGGTTGTGGAGTCTCTGGGAGCTGCACCGAAACTGAGTCCCAGGCGGAGCAGTCGCGGTGCCACTGTGCTCCTTGGGGGGGTGGAGCTCCTCCCAACTGGCCGGCCTCCCGTTCAGCCATAGCAGACCCAGAGCTTTCTAAACCCTGATGAGCCTGAAACCCCAAGCCCCTGCAAACCCTAAACCCTCGTACGACTGCAGCACACTGCTTTGTGATTATTTTCAAACAACTTAGGCTACGGGTTTCAGGCTTTGGGCTGAACCCCTGAACCCCGAAAGCCTTTCGAGGTTCCGTGGAGCACGCAGCCTGAAATCTGGACCCCCAAACCAAGCCCACACTGGCCAAGCCTCCTTTAGGGTTTTAGGGGTTTCGACGATGTTTTGGCTTATGAGTGTGGACGTCGATAACATCTGCATGGCAGCGCAAGCTAGAAGTAGCTGAAATACCCGCGAGACCGCCTGAGCCGTCGGCCCCAATCGCGCCTTGTAGACATGCCGAAGAGAAGTTGTGTAGGGCACATACAATGTCAACTGCGTCTGTAATTGATTCCCAGATGCACGACTCAGAATATACATGGCGTAATTAGTCCTTGGGCCCTCAACAGATTTCCAAAGCCAGCCTGCTCCAGGCGAGAGAACTGTCGTCATGGGACACCGGTTCGGATATTGGACCGGATTCGTGAGGGCACTCAGGCTCCAAATGTAGGGTTTAGAGCACTCAGCGCCGTTACAGCAGCACATGGGGATTTACGAAGGATTCCCTGTCTATAAGGGCCCCCAATAAGGTACCCCCAATATCGAAAACCCCCATAGGGGCTTTGAGCTCGGGGAACTTCATCCGAAGAGTCATCCTGGCAGGATCTGGTCAGCCCTCGCTGTGTGCCCGGATGAGTTGAAGCTTTAGTTCTTAATCCCTGGCTTACTGCAGGGGCCTGAATAATTAGAATAGGGTCTTGGGGAAGAGTAGTCTTATTATAATCAGGGACTATGAGGGGATGCGATTAGTAAATACGCCGACTCCTATAGAAAATCTTATAGAGCGTACTTTATAGGGTATAGCTCTACGTTTGCGGATTGGCCTACCACCCCTGGTGACTTCTGTTCACAGGTCTGCGCTTTGGCCACCTTGAGTTCGCGGCAGGGGCCTTCTCAATTTCCCGCAATGAGATGAGCTAAATCTAGCAGGGCAAAAGCCCTAAACTTGAACCCTTGACCCCAGAAAACTCCAAAACCCTTTAAATGAGGAATATACCTTAAATCTTATTCGGGTTCCTATTCTATTTAAAGGGATATTCCTTAATTAAGGGTTTTGGAGTCTCTGGGACCCTGAAGTCATGCACATATCTGCGCACCCACAAGCTGTTTCTCAGAAGCCTGCCTAGGACGACCCTTCACAAAAACTGCACAGCCCGACATGGGTTTAGGGTTTAGGGTTTAGGGTTTAGGGTTTAGGGTTTAGGGTTTAGGGTTTAGGGTTTAGGGGTGTCCCCCATCCCTAAGCCTGTAGTGATCCCGGGTGTTGCCGAGTTTCGAGCTTCTCGGTACATGCGCTCACGCACCTGTGCCCTACGCCCCCTCAGCTCGTAGTCCAGTTTGGGGGTGCCGAATCAACCCTAAACCTTGGCATAATGGTCTTAGGCTTTGAGAGGGTACGGACACGCTTAGGCTTCATGAGTTCCGCGGGCTTAGGGGGGCTTACGAGACCTTGAACCACCTAAACTAATGAGATCAACGCAGAATCCAAAGTTCTTGGGAGTTCGCGCCTAAGCCCTAATTACATACAACCCCCGATAATCCAGGCATGCCTGAGCGATCTACCCAGGGCAAGATTGGCCCTGAAGCATAAGTAAAGCCCAAACCCTAGACTGCGAGTCCTCAACCCTATATAAGCCCTATAAACCCCATAAACCCTGCGAACCCCATACACCCCACACACCCCAGTAGCCTTAGAGACCCTATAAACCCTGTAAACCCCAAGCCCTATGCCTACACCGTGCAACCTCTCAAGCACCCACATGGAAGTATACAAAAAAGAAGGGACCTCTCTTATAGACCCGACATAGTAAGGTTCCTCAAAAGGACTCCAACAAGGCACCCCTAATTTCGGAAACCTTTGCATGATCCTTTTGTGCCACTGGGCCGGCCTTCTGTACAGCTGCGTGGTCGCAGCAACCGATGAGGAACTGTGAGATGCTCGAGTTTGGGGCTTTCGGCCTTCCAGTGCCCTGACTAAGCGATGCCCCCCCCCCCCCCCCCCCCCCCCCCCCGAACCTTAACAAGAATGGCATTTTTTATGTTCCCTTGAGTTGCATATGAAAAAAAACTAAAGGAGGCAAGAGAAAGTGATACAGCGGTGCAGCTTCCTATTCCTAAAAGATTTTCCGGACACCGAAGCGGCCCGGCACTGATTCCCTTTTTTTGGGGGGGAGGAAGCTCGATGTTGTGACTTCCCCTCCTGTCTTCCTGAGCGACCAGGTGCCGAAACGTACCGTATAGGGCACCTCAACCCTCTTCAACATTAGGGTTTGGGGTTTAGGGTTTAGGGTTTAGGGTTTAGGATAGACACCACACCCTGCAATCCAGTTTGGCCAGGGAAAATGTCAAGCGCTGTGAATGGGCGGCGCCAATATGGCCACGTAGTGCGCGTCGTCCATCGACACAGAGATCGTGCCATTGATTGGGTTGACAGAGATGTAACCTGGCTCGGGAACAGTTAAGCGAGTTACCCTAAGCTCTCAACCTGATTTACGGTTTAGGGGTTCAGGGTTTAGGGTTTAAGGGTGCCCAGGGAAGGAACACCTTTTATCTTGGACCTCCGGATTTCCTCTAAGGCACTTTAAGCCCCTGAAGCAAGACAACACCCGCAAATTTGAAATGTTCCCCCTTTATGAACTAACAGTCCATTTAATAGGGATTATCATAGGGGGTACTATAATCCCTATCAAGGCCTGTTAGTCTAAGGGGGGAACATCCCAACCCATAGGCTAGAAGGCACCACTGCAACAGGAGCTTTGAAGCCTCCCCTGAAGCGCCCCCTAAACCCTAAACGCTTGGAGTGCGGAGGCGTCGCTGTGGGTGTTGCCAAAATCCTTGAAGGTCCCAGCCAGGATGCCGCACATGGCCGAGCCGTCGGGACGAAACACTGCGATGCGCTCATTACCTCATATGGGTAACTCCCCATATACTCCCTTGATGTAACCCCGCCCCCCTTCAACACTGTAATCCACATTCTGGGGACCCCAAAAAAGGAACCCCCACTTTCGGAAACCCTTCTAGTTTTGTGTTAGATATGCTCGAACTTGCTGGTGTACCTCCAAACACGGAGAGGAAAAAATGCCGCAAACCCTAAACCCTAGAACCCTAGAACCCTAGAACCCTAGAACCCTAGAACCCTAGAACCCTAGACCCCTAGACCCCTAGACCCTGGACCCTAAACCCTAAACCCGTAACCTTAAACCCTAAACCCTAAACCCTAAACCCTAAACCCTAAACCCTAAACCCTAAACCCTAAACCCTAAACCCTAAACCCTGCCTGTGTCCATGACCAGTAGGTTCCCAGCCAAATCCACGGCGACATCATTGGGATGACTCAGCTCACCCTTACCTATCGCCTTGGTAGCCCAGCATCCTAGGGGCACTAAAGGCTACCCTTCGGGATGATTATAGGGATTATGGAGGGATTTAGGGATCATGCAGGGACTATATATAGTCCCTGCATGATCCCTAAATTATAGAGGGGTTATGTAGGGATGAAAAAGGGATCAGTTTGGGATTCTAGAGGGATTATATAGGCATTCTCATACCCCCAAAAAGGTTCAAGGCAGGGATCATCATATCCCACCAAAGAAGGTCAAAAGGCTGCCTACCCTACTACTAAGTCGCCTTGCGAGAGCCTTCGGTGTCGACCAGCCACACGACATCAGCCCCTCGATCCGCAACGAGCAAACCTCCATCGAAGGCCTTGGTAAGTAACCAAGTAACCATTTCTATAGCCAAGGGTACCCTTTTTTTGGGGGGTGGGGTTGCTCCTTTGGAGAACCTCGAACCAACCCCCCCCCCCCCCCCCCAAAAAAAAAAAAAAAAAAAGGCACCCCAATGGGGCTGCCAAAGGGCGCAGAGGCCCGAAGGGCGCTGGAATCCCTCCAGGGTCCGAAGCTCCGCCCCGGTCGCACGGTCCAGGACCTGCACGGTGCCAGAGTCCTTAGTTGTCCAGTAACCTGGGGGAACTAAAGGTTAACCTTTAGCCTTTAGGATTCTAAGGGGATTATTAATACCCCAAAAAGGTTAAAGGTTACCTACTCTGCTGCTAGGAGTCGATCTGGGACCTGAAGATCTCTCCGCCCCAGATGGCCACACCTTCGACTTCCAGCGTGGGCTTTTTTAGGCCTTAGAATCCCCTAACCAACCCTGAAAAAAAGGCCCTTTTTTTAAAGGGGTTGTAGGGTATATAGTAGCCGATGTAGGTTGAAGAGGGCGGCTGTCGAGGTGCCCCTAGGTTTTTTTCTACGATCTTCTTAAGGCATGCGATCACCTCCTTGCGACCGTTTCAGAGGTGCATGATCTCGACTCCAGTCACCATGTGTTCCAATGTTCCGGTTGTTTGTTGGCTTCGCTTCAGCTTGCTATTCAGGATCGACCTTTGGTGACCCTGAACCCTAAACCCTAAACCCTAAACCTGGGATGGCCTGTGCTCTTTGCACTTCCGCGATAGGTCCACTTGTGCTCAAAGGTCACCGGGTCAACAGCAACGACGTTGCCACCGGCACAAGCCTTGGCTGACTTCCAAACCTCTTCGAGTTTAGGGTTTAGGGTTTAGGGTTTAGGGTTTCGGGCGTTTCTTAACTGTCAGGCTCCTTATTGTAGTTTCTACCAAAACACAAAAGGTTTTAAAGTCCTAAGAGCCAGAAGAAAGCCAAATGGCCATGACCAACTCGCCATCGGGGCTCATGGCCATTTGGCCTTAGTTTGCTCAGTTCAGAAGCCCCACAAAAAAAGTACACACTCCCAGTTTTATCGGGGATTAGAGTATCCCAAAAAGTGCAAAGTGTACTCCTAAACCCTAAACCCTAAACCCTAAACCCTAAACCCTAAACCCTAAACCCTAAACCCTAAACCCCAAACCCTAAACCCCAAACCCTAAACCCTACTCACTCAGCTACTGAGTGGCTCGGGTGCCTGACAAGTTCTCCCAAGTGGGCCTCCTTCTGGAGCTGGAGATCCAGGTCGTAGACCTGCAACCAGCCCTCGTAGTGGCAGACATACCTTGAGGGTTTAGGGTTTAGGGTTTAGGGTTTAGGGTTTAGGGTTTAGGGTTAAGGACCATGATGCATCATGTCAAGTCTAGGCGTTCATCCAGCCTAGGTTTCTGTGAGTTTTGGGATCCACAGGCATTATGTCATTTTCTCAAGAATGGCCATGGAACAACTGGCCCTCGAGGGTGGTCACTACACCTTGTGGCCACCTCTGGGATTTCACTCTTCGCTGGACATCGTGGATTTGCCCATAGTCATGCGATCTTCGGGTGATCACCGTAATGTGGCTGTCGTCCACTGCGCTGAGCTCAGCGAGCTTTGTCATGTAGCCCTCCGGGCTGACAAGTGTACCGTCGATGATGAAATCCACGGCCAGCCCCTCTTGCGCCAGACCTTTCTCAACCAGCAGGCTTTTGAAGTCATGGAGGTTGCAGTCTCTCCCAACCTCTAACATCTGCCCGGCACCACACATCCTGCTCACATGCAAGCGCATGCGCGCCGAGCTGTCTTCCTGCTCTATGGGCACTTCCTGCGCAGCCTCCTCCTTAGCCCTCAAGCTCTCCATAGCTGGACTCTCCGCCATGCAGGGCTCTTCGATACTTGTCCCCAAACCCTAAACCCCAAACCCCAAACCCTAAACCCTAAACCCTAAACCCTAAACCCCGGTAGCTGCTAAGGAGTCGATCCAGAAACTTGCGCCGCACACACTGCATGCCGATATGGAACTACTGGGGGGGCTCCTATGATAGCCTCGGCCGGGACTTGAGTTCTAGACCTCTCAGCACGTTCGGGCTACCAGAGGTCTTCGGGTTTAGGGTTTTGGGGTGTAGGGGCTAGGGTTGAACTTCTTGAAGCTGCTGGGCTTTGAAATTCCTAATGCAATCTGCTTTTGTTGAATTATAATCTGGTCTTGAGTCCTGAATATTATCATCTTGGGGGAGGGGGGGGGGGTACTGTAACTGCATGTGCAGCAGATTCACATGTTACAAGTTCATGCTACAGTTGCAGCTTCGAGTATCTTATCTTAGGCGTTCGCGCTGGCATCTCATTAAACAGGCAATGGGCAGTTCACTTGCGATGGAAGCTGAAGGGGAGTAGCTTCAAAAATGACGATAACAACGCTTTGTAAATTAAACTTGCTGGATGTTTTCGCACATCGAAACATGCGGGCGCAGCTGCTACAAGATGACCACTGAATGTTTGACTGCGCGGAGCGAGTCTTGAGCGTACACTTCTTTCAACTCCCTCTGGTTCTTTTCACCTTTGCCTCCAGGTGCTTCTGTTGCACAGCGCTACAAGTTCGCACATCTGAATGTGTGCGTAGGGCCAACGCCCCTACAGTTGGATGAAGCCGCTTTGCTGGGGATGGGTTTAGGGCCTTGGGGCCTCAGGGCTGAAGAGTTCAGACTGAGATTCAGGAAGTGGGCATGAAGGATCCATGAAGGTTTTATAGGGGACTAGGGATGAAGGTTTAGCGGGTTCATGTCAGGGTTTAGGGTTTAGGGTTTAGGGTTTAGGGTTTAGGGTTTAGGGTTTAGGGTTTAGGGTTTAGGGTTTAGGGTTTAGGGTTTAGGGTTTAGGGTTTAGGGTTTAGGGTTTAGGGTGATTATGTTCTCCGAATGCCCGGTGCTAGCCTGCCTTCAGACGTTTAAGCAGCTTCCCCACCTGCACGCATAGCTGTGGTTGAACTGAACCTAGAACCACTTAGACCCGAACCCTAAACCCCTGAAAGCCCTGAAAGCCCTGAAAGCCCTGAAAGCCCTAAAAGCCCTAAAAGCCCTAAAAGCCCTTAAACACCCTAAACCCTTCTCCCCAGCCTGCTCCCGAACTCAATGTCGAAACATCTTGCCGCAACGGCGGGTGATTCATGAAGCGGGCAACAGAGTTTATTGTCATGCGACTGCTGTGGCTCTGCTAGAGGGAAGCCTCTTGTGAAGGCTGCGTCTGTGCCAGACTAGACATTGAGCGAACGGGATCCTAATTTAGAACAACTTCCATATGAGCACAAAGCAGGATCAAAGTGACATGATGTGGGCTTTGTGCATGAAAATGCGACAACCAGTGCCTGACTAACGGCCCGAAGAGAGGACAGCCACTGGTAAACGCACAAGGAGTGGGTACTTCACGGCCCTACACCTAAACCCTAAACCCTAAACCCTAAAACCCTAAAACCCTAAACCCTAAACCCTAAACTACCCTAAACCCTAAGCCCTAACTCTAGACATGGGGGTTCCTCTCGCTGCACTGCCCGAATCAGGAATCCATGACATGCGGGCAAGCCCAGAACGCGTGTCCACCAGGGTCCGAAAAAAAAAAAAACCTAAACGCAGTTTAGGGTTTAGGGTTTAGGGTTTAGGGTTTAGGGTTTAGGGTTTAGGGTTTAGGGTTTAGGGTTTAGGGTTTCCCTAAAACCCTATGATATAGGGGCCTAAATAATTAGAAGAGGGTTTTGGGGGTTATTGTAGTATAATTATAAGGGAATACTGTTAGTAATTATTCCGACCCCTACATTAGGCTGAGCTCGCTTCCAACTTCGGTGTTGGTCAAGCCGGGGTGCCCGGAGTTGGGAATTGAAAGCGAGTTTAGGGTTCAGGGTTCAGGGTTTAGGGTTTAGGGTTTAGGGTTTTAGGGTGGCCTTTAGTTCAAGCACTTCCGACACGCGCAACCCATCTCTTCTGAGCCGTGCCCCACGTTAAAGAGTTGACAGACTACTGTTCAAGTCGTCCTCCCTGCCACCGAGCATGTCGGTGAGGCCTACACATTCAAGGTCAGGGTGCGGAGTCCGGGGCTCTTGATTGCGAGATGTGCAAAAACTACGACACATGCGCTGGCATTATTGGGGGCCCCAGTATTACAGAGGAAATACAAGAGCATTGAAGCCCATAATATACCCTAAACATCCCTAAACCCCAAATAATTAAACCCTAAACCCTAAACCCTAAACTCTACACCCTAAACCCTAAACCCTCAACCTGCCCTGGAAGCCCTCCATGGCTGCTTACTTGAGCTGCAAGCCGTCTGAGTTGAATCCAGGGCAGGCGATCCGCGAGACCCTAAGCTTCCTGTCTTACTGCTTCTATAAAGATTCTAGGATTCTAGGGAGTTTTTTGGGAATTCGGGACCCTGTAATCAGAAGCCCTCAAAGGCTTCCTTAGGGGGATTTAAGCCCTATCACGCCGGCATGCGATAATGTTTCCCTCAACCCACAGCCTTCCGCCCCCAAACGCCTGGATCAACTGCAGGGGACGTTGGGGGGGGGGGGGGGGGAGGGTGGGTGGGCTGTGTGGGGACGCACTGCCCGCAACCCTAAACCCTAAACCCTAAACCCTAAACACTAAACCCCTAACCTGTCGAGTTGGCAGTCGGAGGGCGACCCGTGAAGCGCGCTTGGCCCGAGCAAAGCACGGTAGGTGCAAGCGTGAGCTGGCTCAACGAAGAAAGCACCTAAACCCTAAACCCTAAACCCTAAACCCTAAACCCTAAACCCTAAACCCTAAACCCTAAACCCTAAACCCTAAACCCTAAACCCTAAACCCTAAACCCTAAACCCTAAACCCTAAACCCTAAACCCTAAACCCTACCCTATACACCCTAAACCCTATACACCCTATACACCCTATACACCCTATACACCCTATACACCCTATACACCCTATACACCCTAAACCCTAAACCCTAGACCCTAAACCCTAAACCCTAACCCTACACCCCAAACCCCAAACCCTAAACCGCCGAAACCGCCAAAGCTTGGCTCCAAGGCCGAAACCTGATTCTGGCAAAGCCGAATACATGGGAGCTGATCGGTACCTCGGCAGGCCTCATATGATGATAACATCTTAGGGTTTAGGGTTTTGGGTTTAGGGTTTAGGGTTGAATCTTACAGTTCCGTATCAGCATGGCCCGACAACGCAGAGCAACCTGAGCGTAAGACATGCTGCAAAGACAGACCGAAATCACAAGAACGAGACTCGACAACACCCAGAAACTAGGCCTACCAAGCTCCTTCTGCAAAATATAGGAGAGGCCCGATAGGCAATGTGAGGCAATTCGCTGAACCGGAGTTCGGCCGCTTAGGATGCCGAGCGAAACCACCAGACTGAGGATCACAATAAGGAGAAGCAAAAATTTAATCGGCTGGGCGCAGCTGTTCATAGTTCTGGCGGTCATTATAGCTAACACTGGGAAACTTACAGCCTGCACGGCACGCAACCTGGGATATTCCCTAAACCCTGAAACCCAAAGGCTTCAACAGGTATCTAATGAATGAATAGAACTCACAGCTCCGGACGAAACGAGCCGTCTTTGATCGGGCTCAGCGCAAAGTGCATGACAGTGCGCCTGATCTACAAATTGGGCTTAACAGGCCTGCCCCCTCCCCCCCCTGATTTTTGGGGGTTTACTACCGTTATTATTGGATTCCTTACTACAAGGGGATCCTACTATTTGGGATCTATATTGGGGTCCCTTGTTTCGCAAACCCCCCTTCTAGCGATGTTCCTGGACTGTTTGGAGAGAAGCTTTCCTCCCGGAAACAGGTCCCATTACAGCCCAGTGCAGCGATCTACACGACGATCTTCCGGATCTCAGGCGCGGTTCCTCGCCGGCGGAGCGTCTCCTCGGCAAAAACGGGTGGAAGCAGAACCAGGCTGCCAGGAATGGGAGACAGGCCGAGTCTGGTGTCTAGTCTTGATAGACTTGCATTCCTACCGTTTGTTTTTTTGCTAGTATTGAGAGTCTTGTGAGAAATGGCAGCTGTAGATCCGAAAAACTTAGGTCCTAAAGCCCTAGTCGAGTCCAATCTTCAAGGTGCTACTCGTTGGCGGCCTTGGCAACCCTGCCACGGCAGGAGCCCAGCGTGTCTCCAGGCTGGTTTAGGGTTTAGGGTTTAGGGTTTTAGGGTTTTAGGGTTTAGGGTTTAGGGTTTAGCGTGCGACTAAGTCGCTGCTAACCTTGCCAGACTTGCTAGTATTCTTGATATCGTGGAGTAGTTAACCCACAGCTCTCATATATAGGCCTCGACATCGCAGACCCACGGCATTCCTCGCACCCTTCACCAAAACTCCTAGACGTGATCGAAATTCCACAAGAGCTGGATTCGGAACCCTAAACCCTAAACCCTAAACCCTAAACTCGAACCACGAAGCCAAAAGCCCTAAATTCAACGCCACTTTCCAGACCAAGCCGCCACCAGCTCCTGGCAAGGGGCTTCAGAGTTTAAGGGTTTAAGGTTAGGGTTTAGGGTGGCTTCAGAGTTTAAGGGCCTAAGAAGAGTTGAGGGTTCGGGCTTTCGGGCTAGGGCTTCAAGGAGGACTTAAGGGCGTAGGGTGCGGCCAGTGAGCAAAATGTCACTTCGGTGTTGAGGATTCAGGGAAATTATTCAGGGGTTTTGGGTTTAGGGTTCTCCCTAGACCCGAACCCCGAAACCCCGTACTTTGGGTTCGGTCAGGTTTTGGGGACATCTGGGGCTGAGGGTTGAACAGTTTAGGTTTCAAATTCGTGTCCCTCTGTCTGTGCCCTAAGGGTCTTATTCGGGAGTCTGTGACCTCTTACCCTATCCTCTTTCCAGGTTTCCCATGCCTGCCA